CTATGACGATGTTTAGAGTGAAGGAAATCATATTTTCCTTTACATATATATATATATATAATATATATAATATATATATTTGTTAATTATTATTATTATTATTATTTTCTGTTTATGTAAACAGCTAAGTTTATTATTTTTCTCCTTCCTTTTTACTTGCATAGTGTTGCCCGCTTATGACCTTTGTTCTCCTGTCTTGGGTTGGCTGGAAGAGATCTCTTTTATAAGTCCACCTTTGCTCACTTTTTCTATAATTAAGTTTTCTGATGTATTTTTGGTACAATAAAGAATATATATAAAATGAAAGTTTATTCTGTCTCTTGCGGCGTCGCTAGACAAGGAATCATAAGTAGCCTTTAAAAACTTCGAAAGATCATTGTTATCTGAGTACAGATTAACAGGCTTATCTCTTCGTGACATAAACCTTCGTAAGGCTGAGAGAAAAGTATTACTACATAAATCACCTACCAATTCTAAATGAATAGCCGTGGTTGTGAAACGAATAAAAATGGCAATTTAAACCTTTACGATTGTACAATCGTGCCCCATATTAACAGAAGAAATGGGGAAAGCGTAATCAACGCCTACATTTTCAAATGGGTAGCCTCCGGGTTCAATCAGTTGTTGTGGTAAAAGTTATTTTGTAAATCGATGTGTGGACTGTAATAAAATCGGGAGATTTTTTATTACATGTGTAAGATGAGTTATCGAGTCGACCTCTAACGCGTATCAATTTATTTTCATTGATAAATGCATTGCACTTGAGAAGAGGATTTTTGTTTGGCAAAGCTTTGCCTTTTAATAATTCACCATGATGACCAAACGCGAATGATTACATTCAGTGCATTGCTCAATTCAGTCTCTGATAGACAGTTGGTCGTTAGTGGTCGCTTCTTGCATGATTCAATAAATCGCAGCATATACGTTACCGTACGCGTTAGACGTTTAACATTGGAAAATCGATAAAATTTATTAATTCTTCAATTGTATTCCGTAGTCCGCTTTATTAGCTGGAAACAAGAAATTTTTGAATGAGGATTCAATTTCGAGTAATGTCACTAAGAATGACGGGTTGGACAGCCACGTTGACTCATCCTCCCTTTCCAAACAACTCGGTCCTGACTACCACAGGAGAGAAATTGCATAGATTCTGCATTGACGCTGTGAGATGCATAATCAGCGGAGTTCTCCGCAGTCGGGTCATGTATAGTCGTTTGGGTACCAGTTAACGCACAGTTCGGTAAACAGTTAAATTAAATAGTCTGACTTACGTGTGGTGGTAGTATCCATATATTGTCACGCCACAACAACACACAAAATAGAGAAGAGTTTTATTGTGCAATAAGAAATTTAGCATAAGCACTAGCACAGGCAATAGCGATGAAACAGAAACAGTCAGAAAAGATAGATGAAGAGAATAGAAGAAGAATAGAATGAGAACAGTATACAACAGCGTAAGCGCAAAGTATATAAGTTAAGGCAATTTTAGCCCGAGCTTCGCGTCGCATACGATTTCACTCTTTTCACCACTTTGACACCGGCAGTTGACCCCCATCAATCTCTACGATATTTGGTCGAGCACCGCCCGCCCATCTCCAATACTCTTCGAGCTACAGGGCTCTGAAATTTGTATGGTGGCGATCTTGTTTATCCGAATTTCTAATTTTATTTACTTCAGCCGGGGTCCCTCTTGATTCAATCCATTTTTCGAAGGTTTCAGATATTTCTGGTACTCACCGGACCGATCCGACCACGACTTTTGTAAATCATTTTGACCCACCGCGCCTCCTTCTGCTAGAACAATTATCTAAATGACTACATCAGTTAGTCAGTCAGTCAATCAGTCAGTGGTAATCGACCTATATCGAGCCATATATATTATAACTAGTGACGCGAGTTGCGCCGGGTCGCTAAAGCTGCCCGCGAGGGCTTTCTTTGCATATTGTGGCAAATTGGGAGTTGAACTTTATATTTCGGTAGAGAATCCTCTTTGGTTGAGTTTGAGTGGGTGGGATCTGCGAAGATTTAGAAAAGTCAATTGTTTATGGCGGCCATCTTGACTTTGCCAGATTGGAAAATTTTTGATCCCGGTAGAACCTGACCAGAGTCCTTGACAATTTTTGTTTAAGCCATCTCTGAAGCTTTGGCCGGGCTGTATATGCCGGAGACCAGACCGACTTAAATGTTGCACGTTGCGCTGGTGCACTGCTGTAGCTTTGGACCTGCCATCAGTAGCTGGTTGAGTGAGACACCGGAGCTACCAGGCGCAGAGGGTTCGAATACCGCTCGACGTGTGGTGGTGCTACTGCTATCTTTAAGCATACCATGATGGGGTATGTAGTGTCTATTCGAAGTTACGTTGGGAGAAATTGGTCGCATGTGACCTGCATTAAGATAATCTCTCATGAACTCCATGTAGAGCTCCTTGAGACGACTGTCTTTGCTGAGTTTCCGTTCTAAACCACAAAACCGCTTAAGAGCACTATCAAATGTTGAACCTAGAAGCAGATATCCAGGTTTGAATGGTAAGCGTACGATAAACCTGTCGAAAGAGTCGCGAGAGTGGGTCTCTACAAAATGTTTTTCGCAAAGCAGATCGTCTGGATCCTGTATGACTTTCGTTGGAACCTCCTCTACTTCCCAGAACTTTGTAAGAATGGAATTGAGGTCAACGGTACAAGGCATAGATACAGCTTGATGCGAACCGTAAGATTTCGATGGAGCTCTACCCATCAGAACCCAGCCGAAAATAGATGCGTATGCGGAAGGAAATCCTTCGCTTAAAGAAAATTTGCGTCCATTGAAAATCTGCTTATAGATTTCTACACCTAGGAGCATGTCTATGGGTCCGGGCATCGAGAACTTATCATCAGCCAGCCTAAGATGTCTCCACCTGCCTACCACTTATGGAGCCAGTTGGGTACTAGGAAGATTGCCAGTAATCTGCTTAAGAATAACTGCGGTGGTTACCAATGGGGTACTGCCTGGATTCATTAACGAATGGATGGCACATTGAACGCTACCATTGGTGCGTCGTCCACTAGTTTCTACTAGTCCAAAGAGTACAGAAGGGCAGGAGCGAGGCAATTGTAGTTTCCGTGCGAATGTTTCTGTAATTATGGTGACCTGTGAACCGCTATCTATGAGAGCTCGAACTTTAATAATGGAATTATTGGCGTCTCTAACTCCAACCACAGCCGTGCCCAATAGTACAGTAGATCAACCGTGGATACTATGCACATGGGGCAGTTGTATTGTAGAGCTTAAAGTGGATACAACGGCCTCTGGCTGGGCAGTTGACCTTTGAATAGCATGAGAATTGTTATCTAAGTGTAGCTTAGTATGATGACGGCCATGACAAATTTGACAGCTACTTTTAGATTTACATTGGCTTGCATGATGTGAACGCAGGCAATTAAAACCGATTTGTTATCAATGATAAACTGTTTACAGTCAGCTGGTGTCATCGAGTTGAATTTCTTACAAGAGTAGATGATATGTTCACCTTGACAATATGAACAAGTGTATGGAAGTTTGACAACAAAAGATTTAGATGATGTGTGAGGTTGAGCCGTAATATGGCTGCTTGAATGAGAAGTTGATGATTTGGATCCCATGACAGCTTCCGACACTTTAAGCTGAGTTTTCAAAAATTCAAGTAATTCATCAAAAGTTGAAATGTTATTAGTTGATTCCCGTTGGTGAATCAACTCAAACTTACTCCGTAAATCTGTAGGGAGTTTGCGTAAAATAATGTGTAATAAGATAAAACTTCAAGAATCCGTGTTAAATCCTAGTACCGATAATGCTTGAATATTTTCCTTGAGTGAGTTTACAAGTTTCCTTAAGTTAGCGTTAAGTTGATTTTGATTTATGTGTATATTTTTAATATAGCTTCTAAGCATCTTCTAAGTGTTTATCTGCAATTAATCTTTTATTTTGATATCTCTCTGTTAATAAATCATAAGCAACAGAATAATTACCATCTGAAAGTTCCAAATGTCTTATTAAATTTAAAGGTTCCTTATCTAATGTTGATAATAGGTAATGCATCTTTTGTATACTGGGTAGCTCACGGCTATCATGCACTAAACTATTGAACATTGCTATGTAGTTAGGCCATTCTGCGTAAACACCAGAAAACTTAGGTAATGTTATTTTGGGTAAAACAAAGTGTGTAGGTTTTTGTACCTGTGTTTGTGTTTCATTTAATGTCTGTGGCGGTGTATTGAGTTGAGAAATCAAATCACCTAATATTTGAACGGAATAGTACTTATCGTAAAAACTGGTGTATTGTTTGTCTAATTCTATTTTGAAGTTTTCATCAGAAGACTTTGACAATAAAAAGGAGTACGCTTCATCGAAATGCCGCGGTAGCCGTCTATATCACGATAACGGACCGTAAAGTCATTTAAGGTACTACACACACTTTTAACTTTTACATTTAAGGCTAACAAACCGGGATCTTTATCAGATTGAGCACTCAATTGATTTGCAAGACGATATAAGGAATCCATGAATTTGTCGTTTGCATTCAATTTTATTGTGTACAATGCATGCTTTGAAGTGTCATCCGAAATAGTGTGTTTAACTTTGCTGGATGCCATAATATGATTTCACTTTAAAAGATTAATTTAAATAAGTTTTGTGAATGAATGATGATTGAGTGAAAAAATGATGTTATGATGTGAACTCGTTTACAAATAAATGTCACTTGTCATAGAGTACTGGAATGAATGAAATATCCAAAGTCACAGACAAAAAAATTTTCTATGTTGTAAATTATTGAGCGGAATGAATTGACGATGATTGTCAATTAAACCAAAGATTAATGTTACCAGAGACAATGTCACAAAATGAACGTTTTAACTTGCGTAAAATATGAAAATGAAAATTATCTACCGCCAAATGTAGGAAAATAATTTGAGAACGAAAATGTTTGATAAAAATGTAGATTTGCACAAATGATTACGTAAATGGATTTTGATTAGAGATAATGCGGAGAGGATGGATGAGACAGGACGCAAAGGATCAACGTATTTGGCTCAAAGAACCACGCTATTCGGCTCAAAGGACAATGCTATGACGGGGCCAAAATGGGGTAGGGTGAACGCACTGACTGACTTTGAGTTGTTCCCTCGATATGTCGATGTGTCGGTCGCTGGTGTTTATGCGTATGCCCAGGTGTTAAGGGATTGTCGCGCCGCCCACTCTGATCTCTCACAGACAGATGAGATGCTAAGATGATTTTCCGTAAAGCTGATTTTCCGTATTGCCGTTGAACAATTGCTACGGTGTTATCGCGTCAAAAGCGACCGTTCGCTAGCGCGGCGTAGTTGCAACAGGGCCCGTCAAAACGGGGAATGTCCTACCCTCGAATCAGTGCGTTTTTTTAGGATAGGAATAGAGAGGAAGTGAGTAGATCATTTGTGCATTTGCGAAGATGCCTACGCATCAAATCTGACAAATGTATTAAATTCTATGGAGCTACCTGAATCAAAGAAAATTATAATGCTCACCGCTAGAACTAATAATGATGATGAAAATCCGCTTCTTAAAATTTCTAAAAACATATCGTCATGGTCGATACTTCTCCACTCAGATGTATTCATTTATAGATTTATGAAAGTTTTACCGTATACTAAATTCATTACCGCTGAAGATTTGAAATTTGCAGAAGTTAAAGTAAGTTAAGTCGTGCTGTTTGGAAGAAATTAAAAATATTAAATTAAATAAACGTTGTTCTAGTAGCATTCAGAAACTTATGCTGTTTCCCGATGGCAGCGGTTTAATAAAAATCGGCGATCGACTACGTAATGCGGATCTTAGTTACGAACAACAACACCCGATACTGTTGCCTCGTAAGCACTATGCCGTAGATTTAATAATTCAGCATTATCATCATCGAAATTCTCACACCGGGCCTGTTACACTCATGTCAATTCTAAACTGTTCGCCATGTTATTAAAAATTGTCAATTTTGTTATAGGGAAATCCTAAACCAGTATTTCTGGGTAATATGTATGTCTGGGTAAAGGTAAAGATAGTCAGACAGCAAATTTCAGAGCAGCGGCAAACAAAGTACCACTACTCATCACAAACGTACACACAGATACGAATGAAAATCAGATCAGAAAACGAAGGGGAAGATTGCCTTGGTAAAACTGTCTATAAAAAGAGAAAATTTAGACATAAATTACCAACGTTTTCGGACGATAGCTTTTGGCCCACTGGAAAAGTTTTCCGACGGTTTATTAATTTTAAAAGTAACGAACTCAATAAATCGATCGAGGAGCGGCAAGTACATACATCAATAAATAATGAGTGACCACGTATTGCATGACACCGTCCCGGTTTCTTTGAATTGTAAATCGATTAAGTGCTCGGTGGAAAGTATAAGATCACTTTGTAAAACAGCTGACATTGTTGCGATACAGGAAACTTGGCTCTTGCCTTACGATCTGACGTATTTGGCATCTATAGATGACAATTTCGGCAGCACGGGTACCTCAGCCGTGGATATCTCGACGGGTATGCTTAAAGGTAGGCCGTATGGAGGGTTTGCGTTACTTGGGAGAAAAAGTGTTTTTAACTGTGTGTCAATTGTCCCGTGGGATAACCCCCGTATAGCTGCTATTAAAATGATGCTTAGTGATAAACCCGTGCTAATTATTACAGTTTACATGCCGTTTGATACTAAAAGTAACGAAAGTTTAACGGAATATTCAAACTGTTTAGGTTGTTTGAATGCTATAGTGGCGGACAATGACGTTGAATCTGTAATAATATTAGGGGATTTTTTATGCTAACATAGGCACAGCTTTTTATAATGAACTAATGGCATTTTGTTTAAAGTCAGACTGGTATTGTGCGGATTAAATATGCTAGGGGCTAATTCTGCCACTTATTCGTATATTAATGATATGGACGGTGACAGAAGGTGGCTGCACCATTGTCTGGTTACCAGCGTGGCCAGCACTATGATAACTAAATGTTATGTAAATAAAGATGTGCAATGATCAGATCATTTTCCATTATTTGTGATTTGCAATTTCAATGTAGTTAAAAGTAAGTGTAACTTTCAGCACAGACTCTCAAATTGGGTTTTGTGGGGTGATAGAACACCTGTGCTGGTAGAATTGTACACAAAATTATGTAATGATAGATGAAAATGCGTTGATTTACCCGTAGAACTACAAAAATGTTGTGGTGATTGTTGTAGTAACCATCAACACAAAAACTTAATTAATGAGTTATATAATCAATTTCTCTCAATATTAAGTTTAGCAGCTAGCTCAGCGTATTGTGTGAAGAGACGTCGTCGTGGTAAATGTGTTGCAGAGTGGAATGAACACGTATCCACCACTCATGGTGACGCCAAGGCCAAGTTTATGAAGTGGGAGTGGTACTGTTGTCCTAGGTCTGGACCAGTCTATGATGATATGGTTCAAGTCAAACGTATTTTTAAAGGCAGGCTTAAGTGGTGTCAAAATAACCAAGACCAAATTAAAATGAATAAACTTGCGTCACATCACTCTAAGTCTGATTTCCATAATTTCTGAAAGTCACCAACAAATTAAGCGGACCTAAAGGCCTCCTCGTGAGCGTTGGCGATGTGACTGATGAGCGGGGCATTGCAAATCTTTTCAGACAGCATTTTACTGTTAAGTCACCTCTGGATCTCTCTCGATCCGTGATCGGCGCGGAGTCCTGTCGTGGATTGGTGCCAACCTTAATTAAAGCAAGTGACGTCCGTGTTGCTTTACTTTCAATAAAGAAAGGAAAATCACCGGGATACGATGGTCTCAGCATTGAGCACTTAAGATATGTAGTCTTCCATGTACCCAGGATCCTTG